TACCAAAATGTAACGAAAAAGTTGCGTTAACTTTCGTTAAGTTAACGTTAACTTAACAGTTACTTTTTCTGAAAAGTTAACGTTTCAACTTAACCGTTAATATTTTTTGCCAATTTAACTTTAACTTAACGATTGAACTTTTTTGGTTAACTTTCCGAACCTTGGTTGCCCGTCCCGCCCAGCTACCGCGAGTTCTACGAGTACCTGAACCGCACCGTGGCGGGCACGCTCCTCCGCCGCAAGGCCGCCTTCAACGAGACCCCGGACGTGCTGCAGCCGTACGTCGCCTTCGCCGCCGACAACGTGACGCGCATGATCGGCGTGGTGCGCATCAGGCAGCAGCGCGTGCAGGAGGAGCCGTGTATGTGCAGAACGTAGTAGTTGCAACAGGACGCGCGCGCGTGATCACTGACGGGCGTTGTGTGTCGCGCAGCGTGCCTGGCGGCGGAGCCCTTCAGGTGGACGGGAACGCCCTGCTACACGGACTACTACAAGATGTACAGCGACAGGGCCGACTACGGCGAGGGCTGGAACACCAGCCAGGCCGCCGTCAACGTGTCCGCCGAGGACCTGTCCCTCGGCAAGCACTCGCTGTCCATCTGGCGCTTCCGCACCGCCTGGGACCTGGACAGCCTCTTCTCCATCGGTGCGGCGCAGCGGTCGCGATGTCGCGTAGGGCTCCCGCGGACCGCGCCATAACCAACCGATCCCCGCCCGCAGGCCAGGACACGCAGTTCCTGGGCGGCGGCTATGTCGTGGACCTCGGCCGCGTCAACCTGAACGCCGAGATCGAGCTGAGGTACATGTCCAGGCACGGGTGGCTGGACCGCAGGACGCGGGGCGTCTTCATCGAGTTCATCCTCTACTCACCGTCCACCAACATCTTCTGCGACGTGTTCCTCTTCCTAGAGCGGACCCCGGCCTCCTACTTCCACTTCTCGTCCAAGGTGTGCATGGCTCCGCTAAAAAAAAACTGCTGCGGTAGGGTCGGCACGTCAGGGACTCACTTCTTGACGCAGCTGTACGCATATCGGCTCGGCTACGCGGCGGGCAAGTGGAACTCGGCGCACATCGCCTTCCTGGTCGTGCTCATCGCCGTCTCCTTCGTCATGCTGGTGCGCGAGGTGGTGAGCATGTACCGCCTCGGTCGACACAACTACCCGTTCAACTGGTTCGACGGCATCTTGGTCGGCGTCATCACTCTGAACGGCGCCCTCTACTTCGGCACCAACCACTTCCTCAAAACTGTCCTCGAGCGCATGAACCATCTGGACCCCAAGTTTTTCATCTCGTTCCAGGTATGCGCCCATTTCAAGGTTCTTGAAGCACACTTCACCCATTCAAGAGAGTATGTGTGAGAGAAAACGTTGTTTTCAGTTCACCACGTTCCTCAACTCCTCTATGCAATTCGGACTTGGTGTCCTTGTGGTGCTATCCACTGTGCGCTGCTGGAGGGTGCTCAGCTTTGCGACACATTTCCAGGTGGTGAAAACGATGCTGGTGAGTACGGCCCTTTCGTGGCTTTTGGCCGCCCGTAGGGACACGGGCAAGCATGGATGATGATGCCTCATTTCCCTTTTCAGAGACTGGCCTACGTGCCTCTGCTGCACCTCCTCTCGTACCTGATGTTGGTGCAGCTGCAGTTCGCCGTGCTCTTCATGCTCATCATGGGAGGCAGCCAGGAGAACCTCCACTGCCTGCAGCACGCCTACGTGCTGCTGCTTGCCTACCTCGTGGACTACACGGCGGACTACGATGAGTTCGCCGACAGCGCCCGCCGCGACACTTTGCTCTCCCTCGTGTCGTACTGGGTGTTCGTAGGCTTCATGTACTTCTTCTTCCTGAACTTCTTCCTCGGCATCGTGTCCATGGCCTTCGAGTCCGCTGGCGAGATTGTGCGACAGCAGGTGCGCTTCGACCAACCCTTGGAGTCGACAGTCGACCTCGCCACCACGAGGGGATGGGCAATGATCAAAACTGATGAAACTCACCCATACAGGAAATTGAGGGCTTCTCCATGGCCAACCTCATTTCCGACGAGCTTCGCTACCTCCTCAAGCTACCCGGTGGCAAACTTCGCAGGGACAGTTCGCTTTTCCAGCACACGAGAAGGAACTTCGTACAGCAGAAAAACAGGGTTGGTTTGGCGTGTGTGGGGACGGAAAATGGGTGACATAGAGTCAACGGCTCCCGTTTAATCGTACTCACTCGGCTGCAGATCCACGGCGAGACCATCCGGGTGGCGCGCGCCGAGCTGGGCGCCATGTCCATGATGTACAGGCTGCTCACGGACAAGCCCGTCTCGGACAGGGAGCTGCAGGGCGCCATGGCCATGATGACGCTCAACGTGACCACGCCGATGGAGGAGAGGGTGTCCTTCCCCGGGCCGCCGGTACCTCAGGGGGGATGAGGAGAGGGGGGGAGGGGGTTGGTTGCACCGGCCAGTGCCAGAGTAATTGTGGTACTTCACTCGTAGATGGAAGTGAGCATCGGGAAGTCGTGGAGCGGCGAGGAGCTCTTGGACATGAACAAGCTACACACCGTCATGCAGGCGCTCAATGCGCGCGGCGTGGACCGCGACATGGCCGTGGACCAGGAGCACATCGTCGTGATCAGGAGGCTGATCAAAGAGGCCACGGGCGAGAGGCCTCCTTCCACACTACCCGTCATCGTCAGGTGGGTTCCGAGCTTCTGTCGCCTAGGCGCTGTTCACTGGATGCATACCTGTCACTGTTTGGTTCGGTTTCCACGTTTGTACTCGCCTTGCTGCAGGGTTCGTCGTGGCGCACCCTTCCAACGGCGACCCATGTTTCGGATCGCTGACGTGGTCATTCGGCGCCGGCGGTGCGTGCAAATCCGCTTCCGTCTGAGAAGAATCACGGGACCGACGCCGAAACCCAGGCCACCTTGGAGACCTTGACATTGTCGGTGTGTAATGTCATTTCTATTGTTTTTACCTGACTGACTCTCGTTTTTATTTAAAAATAAATAAATGCGGTGCTTCAAAGCGTGTCCTGTTTCGCGTCATCTTTAAACTTCGCGCTACATGTACACGGCTCCTTAGATCTCATGGTCGCACAACTGTGGTCTATGTGGCCAGTGGCCACATAACCTCAGAGAACAACAAAACATTGTTTTCTGTTTGACATCACTATCACCGGGTCATTCTTTTATCGTTTTCTCATCACTATTTGTCTATGCCGTATAGTGTCATGTGTACCAAATTGCTTGTTATTGTGTCTAGCTTTTGCTTGTCTGCTGTCTGTCGGCTTTGATTCATCAGCCAGTTTATGTCAATGTTTCGAAAATGAGTGGCGTTAGGTTAGAGGTACTTTGGTCCCCAGTACACCCTGATAAGTTTGTCACTTGGGGTACAGATATAAATCTCTTTGAGGTTAAACCAATCAAAGATGCTCCCCAATCAAGTAAGATTTTTTTCCCTTTGTTTCATTAATTTAGATTGTTAATTTTTGTTATTGTGTTACATTCTCTTTTGCTTTAAGGTTTCAAGATATCTGAAACTACTGTTGCCCATCGCTTGGCCTCTAACTCTAGTTCCCCTTATGTCAAATGTGTTGACATATACCCTCACCATGAGGCCGACGTATTGTTAGCTCTTGGACAGATCAATGGAAAAGTTGTTTTGACTACTTTTGGACCGACAGTTTTTGACTGTCTTGGTCTGGCAGGGAAAGAACTAGGTCAGTTTTTACTTTTACTCTCAACAATTTTAAAATGCACGCCAAATCTTATACGCTTTATTTTTTCTATGTTTTACAGTACCACGTCATGGACGTCAGTGTAACACTGTAGCATGGAATCCATCAGAATCGAATCTTATTGCTGCTGGCCTGGAAAAACATCGCACAGACCATTCAGTACTCCTCTGGGACTTACAACGTTGTCCACACTCTAATGGTAACATAACATTTGTTTGGTTTCATGTATTTTATAGTAGGAATATTTATTGACTTGAACCATACATTTAAGGCCACTCATCTCACCATGCTCCATCATCTATGGAACCAACACGCCCAAGCGCTGAGCTTGGTTTGTCCGAAACTGCCCACTCCCTAGCATGGCTGAGAGGTCAACCGCGCTGTCTAATGGTTGGATTAAATAACAAGCATTTAAAATTATTTGACTTTAGAGGTCAGTGTCTACATCTTCATATTATTGAACTATTTTTTATTTGGTCATCACTATTAGCATAATATTTTTTTATACAGACCCTGGAAGAGCAGTAAGTTCTACCCCTACCAAGGCTGTTTATGGCCTAGCAGTGGACCCACAAGCAGATCACAGACTTGCATCTTTTGTTGAAAACCAAATTTATGTTTGGGATACTCGCAATTTTGAGAAACCAGTGCTCTTTCTGTCTCAAAACAAACCAGTGTCAAAAGTTTCATGGTGTCCTACTAGGTAAATACCAGGTCTATCTTCCTATCTGTGCCAAAACAGACCACCTTTCATTATCTTGACTCATCTTTTAGGAACAACCTTTTGGGCACTCTTCAACGTGACAGCACATGTATTGGCTTGTACGATATTCAGCCTACTATGGTTGGTAATGATGAAGTAGAGCCATCTTTTTTGGAACGGGCTGTGCTACCTGGTGTGACAGGAGTAGTTGGAGGGGTTCAAGCTTCTGCAGCTGGAGCAATCACATCATTTTCCTGGCATCCAACTCATGAAAACCGACTTATCAACATAAATTTGTCAGGTAAAAGTACTTCAAATTGAATTCAGACCAAATGAAAAGATTTCAAGTTTTGAGACATCATTATTCCATTTATTGTCTTTCTTAGGTAATTTGACTGACTACACTGTATTTGAGAGAATCACTTTGAACTGGTCTCCCAGTAATCATATTGTTTGGACTCATGGATGGAGGACACTCAAAACTGTCTGTGATAAAGATCCTATATATAGTACTATTGACAATGAAGCCATGCTCATTAAGAAAAGAGCACTGTCTGGTTATGGGTTAAGTGTAAGGCAATATTCTTGAATTATATATTCTTATTGTGAATGCCATTTACATATTTATTGCACATACATGTTTATCTCATCTACTTTAGACTAATCTTGAAGAAAATGGGGATTTAGCTGAAAGCAAAGATCTGAAACGCCTATGGAGGTGGTTACAACTCAGTGCAACTCTGGTTGAAGAGGGTTTGGTTCCAAACAATAACACTGGACACCCTGGTGTGAGGTATTGACTTAGAAAAGAATCAACTGTTTAGTATTGGAATGGTCTTGGTTATGCCTATTATTTCTTACTTTTCTATTTTACCATTGTTTTCAGATCGGTTTTAAAAAAGCCTGAGGGAAGTCAACCTACTGGGAGTGAGACCTCTAACGCACACGGACCATGGGCTGAAATAAATGCTTGCCACATCAGTGCCAGAGTATATAGGTAAGGGAAATACAGAGTTTAAAATTAAGACTCTTTTTGTAAGCACAAGTTCACTCATGTAAATAATGTTTTACCTCTAGGAGTGAAGAACGTGAACATGCCCTTCAGTTGTGTGGATGGTCTTTGGACAGAGATCAGTTTCTCGGGCAGTTAGAATCAGCAGGCTACTATTCCAGAGCTGCAGCTATTGCAGTTTTTAATCTTCGATTACCACAAGCTGTTAATATATTAAGGAAAGGTGCTGAACATCCCCGCACCACTTCGCCTGCAAACCTAAATATTGTTGCCGTAGCCCTGTCAGGTTGTTAACATTTCCAGAACTTACCTCTTTTTTCTTTAATATTTTGGGAAAATATACTGCTCATATTGTTGTATACCATTAACTTTAAAATCATTCTTTATAGGTTTTTCTGATGATAAAACAAGCATGTGGAGACAGCAGTGTATTGCCTCAAAACAATATCTCACTGATCCATACCTCAGAGTTATGTTTGCATTCCTTACTGCAGAAAGTGAGAGTTATGAGGAAGTTTTGGTTTGTGCTCAATTTTATCTACTTATGTATCTTATTATGGATTTTATTTCTTAAAGTAAACTGATGTTGTTTGTGCAGGAAGAGAATGAAGTCACTGTTGAAGATCGAGTTGCATTTGCTTGTTGTTTCTTATCAGATGTAAAGCTATCAGAATACCTCCGTAATTTGACTGCAAAGTTAACAGATGAGGGAGATCTTGGAGGAATTCTTTTAACTGGTAAGTATAAACGTTAATGTTAAGTACTCTGCTTTCAAAGGCTGACTCAAATTTAAAATAATGAATGCTTACGTTATGCTTCTTGCAATCCTCAGGAACGACGCTGGAGTGCATTCCTTTACTTCAACGCTTTTTGGATAGAACAGGGGACATTCAAAGTATAAGTTTCATTGCTGCAAGGGCATTTCCTCCACATTTATTGAAAGAAGATAGCGTGCAAGAATGGATATCAAAGTACTTATGCTGCTCATACTTTGGTCTTTCACTTTTGATATTTTGACTTCCATATATTTTGTAACCTTTCGATTATCCCTTTGCTTTTGCAGTTATCGCAATTTACTGGATAGCTGGAAATTATGGACTCAAAGGGCTCACTTTGACATAGCATTAAGTGCCAGAACTGAGTCTGATAAACCACCCCAACAAGTTTTTGTCTCGTGTAATTTTTGTGCGAAAAGTGTTTCAGCTTTTATGCAGGGACGGGGCAGAGGGTTGTTTGCAAGGGTGCCAAACAAGTCGAAGGTGTGTAAGGTGGGCCGCTTCATTTGATCTCTGTTGTAGCTGTATTAGGAGAAATACCTTTACTTCAAGGAATTCATCATACTCCACCCTGCCTCCACTTTTACTGTTTATAGATAACTTCTTGCCCTAACTGCCGTAAACCTCTTCCACGCTGTTCCATTTGTCTTTTAAATATGGGATCTGCATCTGGAGCCTACAGTGTGAAAGCGGGAAGTACAACAAACAGAACTATTGAGCCAGGGTCTAACTCAGACAAATTAGCAGAGTTTGCTAATTGGTTCACATGGTGTCAGTCTTGTCGGCATGGTGGCCATGCCTCTCACATTATGCATTGGTTCAGGTAATAGGATAACTAACATTCGAATGACTATATTAATAAATATATACATGTTAAGTGTAATTAACATTACCCTTAACATCAAATTTTTAGCTATTGATTGCACTATATTCTGTTTTTTATTACAGTGAACATTTGGAATGCCCAGTGACAGCCTGTGCTTGTCGCTGTATGTCTCTGGACTTTGCTGCAAAAGTTATTTCTGTACCTGTAGTGTA